AGGAAGACCAAAGAAGACCTTTTGAGTTTTGGTATTGGCAAAGAATACTAAGAGTACCATGGACTGCTAGAAAAGCAAACAAATCTGTCCTGCAGGAAGTGCAGCTGGAATGCTCCTTGGAAATGAAAATGGCCAGACTTCATCTCACCTAAGTTGGTTATGTTGTCAGAAGGGACCATTCCCTGGAGAAAGATATCATGCTTGGTAAAGTGAAAGGCCAATGAAAAAGGGGAAGGCCCTCAATGGGATGGATTGACACAGTGGCTGCAACAATGGGCTCAGGTATAGCAAGTATTATGAGGCTGGCACAGGGAAATATTTCATTTTATTGTGCGTAGGGTTGCTATGAGTCAGAGCTGACTCACCGGCACCTAACAACAACAACAACATCACTACACCTATTCAACATTGTGTTGGAAGTCCTAGCCAGGGAAATAAGGCAAGAAAGAGAAACAAAAAACATCCAAACTGGCAAGAAAAAGTAAAACCCTCTCTATTTGTAGATGATATGATCCTATACATAGAAAAGCCCAGAGACTCAGTAAGAAAACTACCGGAACTGTTTGAAAGTGACAGGGTACAACATCAACATATAAAAATCAATTGTATTCCTCTACATCTGCAAAGAGATAAAATACTTAGGAATAAATTTTACCAGGGCACAAGAGAGCTATACAAAGAAATCTACAAAACGCTACTGCAAGAAACTATAAGAAACCTACCTAAAAATATACCATGCTGATAGATAGGAAGACAGAACATTGTGAAAATGTCAATAACAATCAAAGCAATCTATAGATAAAATGTAATCCTGATCCAGATTCTATCATCATTCTTTAAGGGAGTGGAAAAACCAATCACTAATTTTATATGGAAAAGAAATAGACCTTTGATAAGCAAAGCACTACTGAAGAAACAAAGTAGGAGGTCTCCTGCTCCTCAAAACCTACTATACAGCCACAGTAGTCAAAAATCCTGGTATTGGTACAATGAGAGACAGTGTCTGTCACAGTGGATCTTTGACAAAGGGCCAGACTCCACTGAATGGAGAAAAGAAAGTCTCTTTAACAATTGGCACTGGCAAAAGTGGGTATCTACTTGCAGAAAAATGAAACAAGATCCGTATCTCATGCTACATTTAAAAAAAAAAAAAAAACTCAAGCTGGATCAAAGACCTAAATGTAAAACCTAAAACTATAAAGATCATCAAAGAACAAATTAGGGACAAATTTAGGGGCCCTAATATATGACGTCAGGAGCTCTGGTAGCATGGTGCCTAAGGCATTTGACTGCTCACCAGAAGGCTGGCAGCCCACCAGCCACACCTCGGAAGGAAGGTTGGGCAATCCTACTTCCGTAGTGATACTGCCTCAGAAACCCAAGGAGGGGTCGCTATGAGTCGGGGCCGAGTTGACAGCAAACAACAATAACAACAATATATGGCGTAAATAGACTATAAAACATAGTCAAAAATGCACAAACAGCAGAAGACAAACTAGATGACTGGAACCCTCTAAAAATTAAATTCTTATATGCGTCAAAAGACTTTTCCAAAAGAGTGAAAAGAGAACCTAGAGATTGGGAAAAATATTTGGCAATGACATATCTGACAAGGGACTTAGCTTTAAATTTTATGGAAAACTTTGACACCTCAACATCAAAAAGATAAATAATCCAATTAAAAAGTTGTCCAAGGACATAAACAGGCACTTCATCAAAGAAGATATTCAGGGGTCCAACAAACACATTAAAAAAAAAATGCTCATGATCATTAGCCATTAACCAAAAAACTAAACCCACTGCCATCAAGTCGATTTTGGCTCATAGCAACCCTACAGGACAGAGTAGAACTGCCACCTAGGTTTCCAAGGCTGTAAATCTTTATAGAAGCAGGCTGCCTCATCTTTCTTTCACAGAGTGTTTGGTGGATTTGAACCACTGACCTGTGGTTAGCAGACTTAACCACTGCAAATCAAAACAACAATGAGATGTCATGTCACTTGAACAGTAATAGTAAAGTTCAACAAAACAGAAAACAACAAACGCTGGCAAGGGTGTGGAGACCACAGAACTCTCATACACTGCTGGTAGGACTATAACATGGTACAACCACTGTGAAGAATAGAATGACACTTCCTTAAAAAGTTAGAAATAGAAATACCATTTGATCCAGCAATCCCACTACTAATCATATATCCTAAAGAAGTAAAAGCCCAGAAGCAAATAGATATATGCACACTCATTTTCATTGTAGCACTATTTACAATAACCAAGAGATGGAAACAACCTAAAATATCCATCAGTGGATGAATGGATAAACTCATTTTCATTGTAGCACTATTTACAATAACCAAGAGATGGAAACAACCTAAAAATACCCATCAGTGGATGAATGGATAAACAGACTTTGGTACATACATACAATGGAATACTATGCAAGGTTAAAGAATAACAAAGACTGCACAAAACATGTCACAACGTGGATAAACCTGGAGGACACTATGCCAAGTGAAGTAAGTCCATCAGAAAAGAACAAATACTGTGTAAGTCCACTATTACAAAAAATCAAAGGTTTACATACGGAAAGAAACATTTTTTGATAGTTACAAGTGGTAGAAGGGGAGTGGAAGGAAAATTGCTAGGCTAGGTAAGAGACACATATGGATTTGGATGAGTGGAAAGGATTACCTTATAACAAAAGTGGGTGACCAGAATAACATCACTAAGGAAAAAGAAGACACAGAGAGGTGCACAGGAGTTACAGAAAACAAAGGCAAACACTATTACATACAAAATATCTTCTTGTTGTTGTTATATGCCATTGAGTCGGACCGACTCATAGCGACCCCTCCTTCGGTTTCTGAGGCAGTATCACTACGGAAGTAGATTGCCCCATCTTCCTTCCGAGGAGTGGCTGGTGAGTTTGAACCACCAGCCTTCTGGTTAGCAGTTAAGTGCCTTAGGCACTATGCTACCAGAGCACCCATACAAGATATAGCATTGATAATATTTTTTAAAAAATTAATCTATAAGAGGATACATAGGTAGACAGGCAAGTTGCTCAGGCATGGGTAGGCGAACAGAATTATACATATGACCATACGTATGTTTGGCAGATGATATTTCTACATACATATTTGTATATGGTATAAAAATAATAGAACTAACAGGTCAAAGTTATGATAACTTCTTGGCCACAACCAAACATTAATAGTTTTAAAAGACAAACTAGAAGGTATCAGCAACATATATATAAATAGTTAGTAGCCAAAATATTCAAATAAATTCTGCAAATCAATAAGAAAAAGAGAAAATAATAGGAAAATGGGCAAAAGATATAAACAAGCAATTCTCTAAATAAGAATTTCAAATGGGCTGTAAATATATGAAAAGATGCTCAATATGAAAAGATGCTTAATCTCACTAACAATCCAGGAAACATGAATTAAAACAAATAGACTAGATACATTTGTTTAACTCAACAGTTTGGGGAAGTTTTCACAGATTGCTACTACCTAATATTAGGAGCTCTGGTAGCGTAGTGCCTAAGGTATTTAACTGCTAACCAGAAGGCTGACGGTTCAAACCCAGCAGCCACTCCTTAGAAGGAAGGTTGGGCAATCTACTTCTGTAGTGATACTGCCTTGGCAACCCAAAGAGGGGTCGCTATGAGTCAGGTCCAACTCCACGGCACATAACAACAACAACACTATTTATTTATACTTATGAAAATATTTATGAAAAAGTATTCTATTTTCTATGAATATATTCAATAGCATGTTTTGCAGTGTGGGAGGTCTGAGAGAGGGTCCATGGGGATATAAATGCTTGTCTATGAAGTTTTAACTTTTTTTAAAGGCAGATGTATTCATACGTAACTAATTAAAAATTATTATTTAAAAAAAATAAGTGTTAAGTGGATTGGGACATAAAGGAAAGCATACCTCTGAAGGTGTGTTCTTACCAACTTACCAACATGAGTTCCAATAGAATGCCTCACATAGTATTGGCTTTTTGAGGCACTCCGAAATACTAACTGATAAAGTAAAATTTTATTTGGAAAATCTTGAACAAAGATTCTTGCTGGGATGTTTTTGTTACTAAGGCAATGCATGGTACAGTGATTTTTTTTTTTTTAATCAATAAGCTTTAATAGCCCAGAATCTGTTATATTAGAAAACTGAAAATAAATCCATTTGTACATAATGGATTTGCAAAAATTTACACCAGTATCTTGCAACATAAAAATACTTATATATTATGTATACTTTTGTACTAGACCATATCTAGTACCAACTCTTTCTGTATTAATCCTACAATTGTCATGACAACCTTAAAAAAAAAAGTCTCCACTGAGTCAACCCCAGTTCATGACAACCACAAATGTGTCAGGAGGTTAGTAGTTGAGTGCAAACTTTTGGCAGCACCCAAGAGAAGAGCAGGAATCCAGGAAACTGAAAAAATGTACAAACGCCAGGTCCCAGAGTAGAACTGTGCTCTACAGGGTTTTCCATAGCTGATTTATTTTGAGAAACAGATCACCAGACCTTTCTTCTGAGGTGCCTCTGGGTGGATTCAAACCTCTAATCTTTAAGTTAGCAGCAACCACATTCACCATCTACACTACCAAGGGAGTCCCCTGACAACCTGAGCAAAAGCTAAGTCCTACATTAGAGTATCTATCCTGTTCTAAAGATGCATTAGAAAGATGCTTTATTAACCCCCAGTCTCACTACTGGAACTGCACTGTAGTGTACTGTAGTGCAACTGTCAGGAATGAAAACTGAAACACAAGTGTCTTTCAACTATAAAGTTCTAGGATTCATTGAAATGGAAAAGAACCAGAAAGTAATTTTTATTTTAAACATTTTTTAAAAAAATTAAAACAAACCACCCAAGGAAAATAGAATCCTTGGGTAATTTTTTAAAAATTGGTTTAGGAAACTGTCAACTCCTATTCCACAGAAAAGAATAATGGAAAATATTTTCATCACACATACCCAGCCTCCATTTTGCCTTATCCATTCTGCTGTGTTATCCATTATGAACTCAGCCACAAAATAAGATATCTCCTTGTAAGTATCCACATCCAGGGCAATTTGCTCTCTTAGAAGTTTTTTGATGAGTATACCTCCAAATGCAAATATGGTCACAATCCTTCCCCAGTTAATGATGCCGTCTTCGAATTCTTTTTCCATCACTTGATTGAATATGGTTTTGGCAATATCTATGGAGATGACATCAAAATTGTCCAAATATGTTTTCAAATTCTTTTCAACTTCTTTTTGAACTGAGAAAGCAACATTCTGTAACACTCTGGATGTTTTACTTGGACCAGTGCCAGGCTGTGGTATCTGCAGGACGTACTTCAGATAGTCCTGGGCCAGCACGTAAATAAATCCAAACTCACAGTCAGTCATCTCCGTCCTGGTGCAGAGCAAAGTTTTGAGCTGGTTCACTGGAAGCTGTAGAGGCAATGTGAAGTGAAAACGCACAGACTTGGACAGGGTTATGACACATAATGATATCTGGAGGCTGGTGGAATTTCTGTTTGCATCACTTGATAGTATCCTTCCTCCTAATTACATGCGTAGGCTGTCTGTGAAAGAGAAAGTTTAAAAGGCGAAAGAGAAAAATATTTCGAAGAGAGAGGTCACTTCCTCATCCTCTAAGTAGTTTATTCAGCATTAAATCTTAAATGCAGCCCAGTAGCTAAAAATATATCAATGAAGACTATCACTACCATTTGGAACGGAGACCAGAGAAGAAGCTAGGTAACAGAGTTGCTCTGGCAATATATCACCCTTGGTGCTTTGGTACTAGGGTCAGGGTGATTGGGGTAGGGGGAGAAGAAATTATATCCCTTTTGTCTTCTCCTTTAGTCTTAGTTATCTAATGCAACTATAACAGAAATACCACAAGTGGGTGACTTTAACAAATTTATTTTCTTACAGATTAAGAGGCTAGAAACACATTCAGACAACTGGCTTTAGGGGAAGGTCCTTGTCTCTTCAACTTCTGCTTCCTAGTTCCTTGGAGATCTCCATGTGTCTTGGCATCTATCTTACCCCATCTCTTGTTTAGGACAACTTGCTTGTTTAATTTCTTTTATATCTCAAAAGAAATTAACTCAAGATACATCAAGCTAATCCTGATTTATTAGCATAACAAAAACAACCCACCCTCAAACAGGATTATAACCACAGACATACAGGTTAGGATTTACAACACATATTTGGGGGGTGGGGGAAGTCACAATTCAATGCATAACACCTCTCATTTACTCTAGAAGTTTTGATAGAAAACAAAGTTCTGCTTCAAGCCAGAACCCTTAATTCATGTTCCTAAACCAGATAAATTATGCAATATATAGATCAGAAAATGTGGAGCCAACAGAGGGGGATCTCTGTAGGAGATCCTGGGTAGAAAAGGAGAATAATGTGGAACAAAACTCAAAATCATTTGGAAAAAAAAAAAAGGGAGGGTGAGAACCAGGTTTGCTGGTCTGATAGAGTCTGGTGGACCCACTGAGACTATGGCCTCTAGCTGCACTTCAGGTCTGGAATTGAACCCACACCTATGGCTTCCAGTCAAACAAAAGACAGGCATACAAGCTGAACATTTACCTGAGGTAGATACACTCCTTGTGGAGATCAATCATGGGAGAAAGAAGGGCTGTTTATGCACAGGGAGACAGCTCAAGGGGCCAGAGTACATGGAGGGATGGACACAAGGAAGAGGTAACTATGGGGAGGAAGTGGGAGGGGAGCTGTTGCATTGGGGCAAATTGTAGTCAATGTCATGAGACAAAGTGTATGTGAACTGCTGAACGGAAAATGAATTCGCTCTATAAATTTTCACCCAAATCACAATTAAAAAAAAAAAAAAAAAAAGTGGAGCCAAGAACACTGGACTTGGAATATGAGGACCTGAACTCAGTCCTAGCCAAATTCCTCTTCCCTTACTCGATGTGCTTAATTTGTAAAATGGGTCTGTGCTTAATGTGTAAAATTGTTTGTTGTTTTAATTAGGCAGTAAATAATGACTTCAGAGAATTGATGTGACGTTAAAAGAAATGATCTATGCAAAGTATTCATCACTATGTCTGGCACAAAATAGATGCTTAATCAACGCTCTGGTAGCATAGTGGATAAGACACTTGACTGCTAACCAGAGGGCTGGCGGTTCAAACCCACCAGCCACTCCTCGGAAGGAAGGTTGGGCAATCCTACTTCTGTAGTGATACTGCCTCGGAAACCCAAGGAGGGGTCGCTATGAGTCAGGTTTGACTCGATGGCACATAACAACAAACAACAATCAACGCTAGTTCACAATTGTTCCTTTACAGATTAAAGAAGAATTTGGCTTCCCAGTCATCTCTTTATCCTGTAAGAGCATAACTTCATAAACACACAGTTTGAAGTAAAATGCAGTCTTTTAGTGTTGGCAGCAATTCTGAGAAATAGTTGGCGGAGATGGCGAAATTACTGGCTAAAAGGAGCATTGGGGATTTGGGAGCAGATTTCAAGTCTCCTTTACCAGAGTACATGGTAATTAAGGCAGTTACCAAATACTTGGAGAAGGTGGGCAACCATATCCCTATCTGATAGCTGCATCTTTCTGTTGACTGAAGAGCCAGTGTTGCTAGTAAGCAAGGCCAGTGAGTAGGATAAAAAGGAGACAGTTTATGATAGTCTCTGGAGAAACAGAATTCACTTTTTTTCCATCCACATATGGAGTGAATCTGATTGCTTGTATCAGTGTCTACCAATAGTTACAAACAGGAAAAAAATTAAGACATAACTTGTATTTCTGAACTATTACTATAAGGCTGAAGGAGGAAGGGAGAGATGCTACTTAAGGTACTTAAGTTAGTGAATGACTTGTAGTAGTCATGAAAATGTATCCATCAGACCTCCTACTATGGGAGTACAATTGGCCCCAGGTGCTGTGTTCTGAATCTACCAGGAGTTTGCACTGAGGCTATGCCTCCCACAGGCTGTTCCCAGCCAACGACTGAGCACACCAAGAACACTAAGATAGGCCCATTCCTTTGAGTCACACTCCTTTGACAAGAGGCTTTGGCTCAATGACTCCCCATCACCTTTGCAGGACTTTCTTAAACTGCACTACAGTCTAATATTCTTCTTACCCAGTCTTCATTCCTTTTCTCTGTTCTCACAGGAGTCGGATCTGTAAATGTCTATGATCCCAGCCTCTTCCATTTTCCCTCACAGGCATCTTCCCCAATAAATCTCTTGCACATCTAATGCCCTCTTGGTGTTTTTCTTCTTGGAGTATCATATGGACACATAGAACACAGAAGCATAGAACTAATTGGTGAGGTCACTTCTCCAGGACTTCCCCTGGAAAAATTGGGTTGTGTCCTCGTAGACTATGCCTGTTGGCCCACAGAGCAATAAAACCAAAAGCAGGTTGCTTTGTTTCCTCAAATCTTTGAGGAGAGGCATTTTTATCTCTAGCAACTAAACCAGTTACTGGTACATAGTAGCAGCTTAGTGTATATTTTTGGAATACCTGAATATATATATGGTTCCCAGACTCTACCCCTTCTGGTTGACTCTCACAGTGTACTCAGGGTAGATTTATAATTTTATTCAAAATTCTAGACATGGAAATAATACCTTGGAGGATGAAGAATCATGAGCTGATCCTTATGGGCCTATATATTAGACTCCTATGAATTCAGGCTCAGATTGAAGTGGCGTTGAGAAAGGACACCACCCTATGTCTTCACATCTAGTTCATGACCAGCTACTTGCCTTTGACCCACACATTCCTCTACCCTACTCCACCCACTCGTCTGTCAATTTGTTGTACTGTTGTGGTTTGAGTGTTGCTGTAAGGCTGGAAGCAATGCCACCAGTATTTCAAATACCAGCAGGATCACCCATGGTGGGCAGGTTTCAGTGGAGCTTCCAGACTACGACAGATTCAGAAGAAGGAAGGGGCCATCTACTTTTCAAAGAATTGGCCAGTGGAAACCTTATGAGTAGCAGTGAAACACTGTCTAATACTGGAAAACATTATGAATAGCCCTGAAACATTGTACGATATAGTGCCAGAAGATGAGTGCCACAAGTTAGAAGGCACTCAAAATACGACTGGGGAAGAGCTGCCTCCTCAATGTACAGATCTCATCATAGTACTCTTAGTATTCTTTGACAATACCACGATTCAAAAGCATCAACTCTTCTTTAGTCTTCCTTATTCATTGAGCAGGTTTCACAGATATATGAGGTGATTGAAAATACCATGGCTTGGGTTAGGTGCACCTTAGTCTTCAAATAGACATTTTTGCTCTTCAGCACTTGAAAGAGGTCTTTTGCAGCAGATATGCACAGTGCAACACATTGTCATCTGATTTCTTGACTGCTGCTTCCATTGGTGTTGATTGCAGAAACAAATAATATGAAATCCTTGACAACTTCAATCTTTTCTCTATTTATCATGATGCTGCTTATTGGTCCAGTTGTGAGGATTCTCATTTTCTTTATGTTGAGGTGTAATCCATACTGCAGACTGTAGTCTTTAATCTTTATCAGTAAGTGCGTCAAGTCATCTTCACTTTCAGCAAGCAAGGTTCTGTCATCTGCATATCACAGATTGTTAATGAGTCTTCCTCCAATCCCGATACCATGTCCTTTTTCATACAGTCCAGCTTCTCAGATTGTTTGCTCAGCACACAGATTGATTAAGTATGGTGAAAAGATATAACCCTGATGCATACCATTTCTGATTGTAAACCATGCAGTATCCCCTTGTTCTGATCAATGGAAAGATTCCTGGTCTGTGTACAGGTTCTTCATGAGCACAATTAAGTCTTCTGGGATTCTCATTTTTCTCAATATTATTCATAATTTGTTATGATCCACATAGTCAAATGCTTTTGCATAGTCAATCAAACACAAGTAAACATTTTTCTGGTATTCTTTGCTTTCAGCTAAGATCCATCTGAAATCAGCAATGATATCCCTCGTGCCACATCCACTTCTGAATCCAACCTGCATTTCTGCAAGTTTCCTGTCAATATAATGCTGCAACCATTTTTGGATTCTTTACAGCAAGCTTTTACTTGTGTGTGATATTAACGATATTGTTTGATAATTCCCACATCAGCAAATGGAGGTCCTGAAAGCTTTACTCCATCTATGTTATTAAGTTCAACTACCACCAGCTGCCCAGCCACTCAACCAGGCCCAGCCAAGTTGGCACACAAACATAACCACCACACCCACCAAATTCAAGGGGAGGAAGCAAAGAACAATTCTCCTAAGAAGGAAGAGTATTAAAGAGTTTGCAGTCATGTTTTAAAACTGCCACTACGTGCAGCTCACATGCAAGGTCACTTACAGACACAAACATGTAAAATTTAATCAAGTTCATCTGATAAAAATTT